TAATCGCTATCTGTTAGTTTCAAACTGTTAAATAAAAAGTTTTATTAAACTTATAGCGATTTTGAAATAAATAATTTTACTAAACACTTATTTTTAATTATTTGGATAAAATCACTAACCACTACTTTCAAACTGCCATACCAAATGAGCCTAAAATCTCAAACTTTAGTGATCAAAATAGAAATTTATTTAGTTTAGGGACTAAATTACAAGCTCATACCAAAGTTAAAGAATCAAAATGAGGGTGTAACCTTTTTGTAAATGCATTATAAGCTAATGTAGAGGCCTGTTGGTTTTAGGGGTGGCATTTTGCTCCGAATCTCGTGGGGATCCCCGCCACGAGGACGAGGGGCATTTTTCTTTCACGAAATTTTATAGAGAATTTTTCTTACCTCGTAAGGAATTTTTCCCGTCCCATGGGGGCGCACAAGGATCCCCATCCCCGTAAAAAATTTTTAAAAAATAAAAATTAATTTTATTTTAAATCTAATTCAACCTTTAAATCCAAACTCAATCAAATAAAAATTAAACTTAATCCAAATTTACCCAACCCATTATTAACCATTTAACCCTAACCTTACTAATTTCTCATCACTCTCACCTTCCCCTCCCCTCATGCTGTCAACACTCTTCAAGAATCTCAAACCTTCATTGCCACCCTTCTGAGTTTTACCTTTCTCATCCTTCTGCCCTCACTTTCACTCATTTCTCCATTGCTGCTACTGATCTGCTACTAATCTGTTGGAGCTATTGCTAGACTATTGAACTACTATTGTTGGACTGCTGTAGGTTTTTTTATGAGTAAATGTAGATTTTGAGAGCTAAGGTGTTTTGAGTTGGCTACCCCCTTCATGTTGGAATTTGGATGTTGGTTTAGTTATTGATTTTATGTTGAATTGATTTTTGCTTCTGTTTGGAACAAGTATGTTGAATTACCTATTTATGTTGGATTAATTGTTATTTATGTTTGGAACATTTTTGTTAGTTTAACTATTTATGTTGAATTGATCTTTATTTATATTTGAAAATTTTATATTTAAAGAATTTTAGTTGATAGTACTTAAATTTTTAAAATTTTATTCACTGTAATTGAATATTAATTAATTATAAGAAAAAAAATTATATTTAAAAAAAATTATATTTTAATATTAATTGATGAGAAATGAAGATGAAAAGCAAAATCTACTCTTATAAAAAATCCTTGCAAGGACATGGACCAAAAGGGACTCCCCGACCCCGCAACACCCATTGTGATCCCTAGTTGGTTTCCTTACGACACAAGAGGTTGATGTAAAAATGTGAAAGAAGAAATTAATTTTTTTAAATACAAATAGACAATGAAAAGACAAAATCTATGTAGAAATCAGAATGACGATCACATGCTTATTTTCACTTTCCTTCAAATGAAGGGACCCCAATTAAGTCAAAATGATAATGGAAGCCATAG